AGAAGCCTGCGGCACCTGGGGACGACGAGGGTCGGATGAAACCCTGCCGGAGGGCCTGGTCAATATATTCCTCCATGGCTCTGGACTCGGCGGGAGAGAGAGAAAAAAGGCGCCCCCGGGGTGGACTGGTTCCCGGTTGCAGCTTGATTTCCATGTCGTACAGGCGGTGAGGCAGCAGTGTGGTGGCGCGCCGCTTGTCGAACACCGCAGCCAGGTCCCGGTAGGGCAGTGGCAGACTGGGCGGTGTTTGGCCAGTGTCACCATCCAGGCGGTCTGGCATGGATGTAGGAGGAGAGAGGTGGGCCTGGCACTGGGTCCCCCATTCCAAAATGCGGCCCTGGGACCAGGAAATCCGGGGGTCGTGGAGACGGAGCCAGGGAAATCCCAGGATTAGAGGAGAGGAGGGAGCACATATGATCAGGAACTGGAGGGTCTCTCGGTGGCCTTGGACAATCATCTGGAGTGGCTGGGTTCGGTTTTGGATCGGATAGGGTTGGAGGGGCCTACCGTCCACCGAGGTCACAGGAACAACTCTCTCCAAGGGGGTCATGGGGATCCGTAGGCGCTTAGCAAGATCCATGTCCATAAAATTGTCAGCGGCCCCCGAGTCCATCAGCGCGTGCATCTGAAGTGAGGTCTCACCATGAAGGAGAGTAACATAAAGAAGGAGTCGATTTGAAGAGGCGGGGGCTGAAGGTGACCCAGGCTGAGTGACCCCGATACTCAGTGGGTTCCTTCGTTTCCCAAACGCAATGGACAGTTCAGGCGTCTGTGGTGGGAGGAGCCACAATAGGCACAGAGACCCTCGCGCCACCGTTGCTGTCTCTCCTCTGGAGGAAGGTGGCCTAATTGCATGGGCTCATCAGTAGAAGCGGGTCCGGGAGCAGGCGTGGGGAAACGAGGAAGAGGTCCAGGCGCCCTGGATGGGCGAGTGAAGGGCTTGGGCCGAACCAGAACCCGCTGATCCATGCACAGCGCCAAATCGACCACTTCATCCAGGGTTTGGGGCAGTTCCTTTCCCGCCATCTCATCACGGATGTAGGTCGCCAGTCCCTCCAAGAAGACGGCTCGGAGGGCAGAGTCATCCCACCGCAGCTTGGCGGAGATGGTGCGGAACTCCGACGCATAAGCGCACACCGTGCGCTCCCGCTGGCGGGGCTTTAGGAGTTGTATTTCTGCTCCCACTTCGCTGCTGGGTGGAACAAAAGCAGCATAGTCATTGCAAGCCGGTGATTTGGAATTATAAAGCGCAGCGGCCCACTCAGCCGCGCGTCCGGAGAGCAGGGAGGTGAGATGCGCCACCCGAGAGCGCGCAGTGGGGAAGCGCCCTGGCTGGCACTCAAACAGCATGTCGAGGGTGGCGAGCAGACCGTCTGGGCTCCCGTCTCTCCGTTCCACCTCTCTGGGAGACTAAAGTGCGGCCCCTCTGTTGGTGGAGTGAGGGCTTGCTGCTGGAGAGCATGGAGGGCTGTGGATAATTGCAGGATGAGATCGGTCTGGGAGTTTTGTTTGGTGTGGAGCCGATCGATCAGGGCGTGGAGCTGAATGAGTTCATTTTCCATTTGCTCCGTCTTTCTTTTCATGTGCTCGAACTCCGCTGGATCTACGGACTCAGTCATCCTGTCACGATGGTCGACTGGGTACGGGAGTTGAGCTTGGTAAAGATGTTTGATATCTGGATTATTCGGTAGAGAACTCTGATCAGGGGTTTCAATGAAACGATGACTGAGTGAAGAGCCGGTGCGGCGTCTTCCATATATAGGCTTGGGTGTGACTGGGAGAATGCCGGGAGTTCCCGCGAGGAGCATGCTGGGAAATGTGGTCCAAGATGGAGGCTGGTTAGCTGGGAGAGGCCGGCCCGGGGGCTTGGGTTCTGACAGTCGTCAAAGCCATTGATTTATGATTTATTTCTTCCATTTTTTATTTAAAGTCTTAATATGATTGTAATGAATAAATTATTTACATAAATGTATACAAAATAAAAAGTGTTGATTAGAAAATTAATAAACAAACATGTAAACATATAATAAATGTCAACCTATATAAATGTCAGTCTATGGTGGAAACATAGACGTGTGTGTGAAAGACGTGTGTGGTTTATAATCAGGTCACAGTGGAATAAAAATATGTAAGTGGCCTTTTTTTCAGGCCCTAATTCAATGTTTAACTAATAAAACAGAGATGATTTAAACTACATTATAAAGCCAAACATATTAGGACCCCCAACATAATCACTGCATTTAAGTAGTAAAGATGTGGAGGAACTTGAATGGTTCGCAGAGTCCTGACCTCAACGCAGCAGAACGCCTTCAGGGCTGATTAGACTGTTAGCCACGTGTGTGTGTGTGTGTGTGTGTGTGTGTGTGTGTGTGTGTGTGTGTGTGTGTGTGTGTGTGTGTGTGTGTGTGTGTGTGTGTGTGTGTGTGTGTGTGTGTGTGTGTGTGTGTGTGTGTGTGTGTGTGTGTGTGTGTGTGTGTGTGTGTGTGTGTGTGTGTGTGTCCTCACAAATGCATTTCTAGAAAATTTGTAAAAAACAAATAAAAAAAAGAAACTAAAACCACACTTTTAAACTTTGCACCTTTTCAAAAGTACTGTGACATTTTGACCAACAGTTTGGGATTGGAACACCTGAATCAGTAGGGTGGCCCAATTCTATGGCAATATTGTGTGTGTGTATCAGAAATGTTGTGGGGGTCCTATAAAATATCGAGTGGCCCAACTGTGTTGTCCTATTCTCGAGTCTCAGATAAATGACTCAAGAAGCTTATTTTTTCTTTTTTTTTCAAATACCGAGAATGTGGGCATTTAAAAAACATAAATTGATAAGCTCTTCAGTCTTCAATCTGCTCTCTGAACTATACCTGAGATGTTTTGAGTAACCCTGGAAAGATTAGCATTTTTTACCAAGTCTTTAAGAAAATATGGCCTAATCCACAGTCCAAGAGCATACAAATCTAGCAACTGTTAGAATTTTTGTGTCAGACACTCAAGTTTCTCTCATTAATAAACCAACCCAATGATATATTTTATCTGCAGAACTTTGCTCTATTTTGAAATAAACTAAACCCCTACAATTGCTCACACTGAACTCTGTTCCATACACCACCACTTTATTGACCATCCAATGGTTGAAAGAAAGATGTGTTTCTCTATGTTCCTTTGCTTGGCTGAACATGTCTTTTTACACACACACACACACACACACACACACACACACACACACACACACACAAACTGCTCATGGTGCTTTTTCCAAGTGCACATTGAGAAAACCCATTTTCTTAGCAGAGTTGCTGACAGTCCTGAAGTCCGGTTCTGTTTGGTATTCAGATCACAAAAACCTTGCTGCATCTCTAATGAAGCACACACCCACATTTCCATACTTTGGAACAGTAGACTCAGACAGATTAGCTCAGGCTCATAAAAGAGGATAAGGCAACAAAGTCATGTCATCAAATAACTAGAAAAGATAAAAAATATGATTTACATTCTGCAGATAAGTTGAAATTTGATAGACATTTTCCTCTATTGGTTATCTGTTTAAGTCAGGTGAGGCTTTATTTATGTAGCACATTTTCATACATGGAGGCAATTCAATGTGCTTTCCATTAGCAAAAATAGTATGAACGTTAAAATCAACGTGACAGCACAATTAAAATACACAAATAAATTTAGACCATATTAAAAACACTAATTAATTTCAGATTTAAGAATCAGAAAAGAGACAAAGACTGAGCACTTACAGTGCAATAGGTGCAGCATAAGAAGCATTAATTCAAAGGCTGATGAATACATGAACGTATTTAATTTTGATTCAAAAGTTACTAAAGTTGGGGCACATTTAAGGTCACAAGGAAGCTGATTCTATCTGTGTAGCATAGTAGCTAAAAGAGGCTTCACCCTGTTTGGTTCTGGCTCGAGGTTCTACCAGCTGATTGGGATCTCACATCTCCTAAGGATCCCACAGCCCTGCTAGGCGTGTATACAGGAAGGAGATGCAACATGTATTTCAGCCACATGCCGTTGAGTGATTTATAAACTAGAAGTACTTTCAAATTGATTCTGCAGTTTACTGGTAACCAGTGTAGAGATTAAAGAACAGGAGTGATGTGCTTGGGTCTCTTGGTTCTTGTTAAGACTCTAGCAGCAGCATTCTGGATACGCTGCCATAGTCCAACCTGCTGGAGATAAATCCATGAATGAGATTCTCTAGGTCCTGTGTTGACATGAGACCTCTTGAGTGGTGCTGTTTGATGCAGATTATAAAACCCTGATCTAGTTATAGCCTTAATGTAACCAGTGAAGCTCAGGTCTGAGTCAATAATGACATCTAGGTTTCTAACCTGAGTCTTTGTCTTTATTCCTCTGCGGCCAAGCTGAGCAATAACCTCCTTATTTGCAAAGACAATAATTTTAGTGTTGTCTTTGTTTAACTGTAGGAAGTTTGACAGCATCCAGTCAATAACTTACTCCAAACACTGACAGAGTGAGTTGTATCGTTTTCACAGAGAATGTACAAGTAGAGGACTATTCAATTCAATTCAGTTCAAGTTTATTTATATAGCTTCAAATCGCGACAAGAGTCGTCTCAAGGCACTTCACATAATAAACATTCCAATTCAGGTCAGTTCATTAAGCCAATCAGAAATAAAGTTTCCTATATAAGGAACCCAGCAAATTGCATCAAGTCACTGACTAGTGTCAGTGACTATACAGCAATCCTCATACTAAGCAAGCATAAAGCGACAGTGGAGAGGAAATCTCCCTTTTAACAGGAAGAAACCTCCAGAGAATCCTGGCTCAGTATAAGCAGCCATCCTCCACAACTCACTGGGGATTATCTATTTTAGTTTAAAATAAGATTTTAATAATATACGGGAATAAAGATAGGTCAAATCAATAAAAACCAAGCAAATTTCATTAAAAACTCACAAATCACTATGTTTGATGCCTTTAGGAACTTTTGTGTTTAGCTCTGATTCTCCTTTTTTGTCATCAAGGGCTGGGTGGTGTCAGGTCCTTAAAGGTCCTTCAGCTCTCATTCAACAGGATCTCAACTTTAAAACCAGGAGTACTTAGTCACCTCCGACAGTTGAAAGAGCTACACTTACAACATAACCTCATCACTCATCTTTATCCTCAGACGTTTCAGGATTTAGACCAGCTCAGGGTAAGATGTTTTATTCAACATCTGTTCATTTGTGCTTATTACACTAAACAAAATTATAAATGCAACACTTTTGTTTTTGCACCCATTTTTCATGAGCTGAACTCAAATATCTGAAACTTTTTCTACATGCACTAAACACCCATGACCCTCAAATACACTTACACTGTCTACATGTGTGTTAGTGAGCACTTTTCCTTTATCAAGATAACCCATCCCACCTCACAGGTGTGGCATATCAAGGGGCTGATTAGACAGCATGAATAATGTTCAGGCGTGTCTTAGGCTGTCCACAATAAAAGGCCACCCTGACATGTGCAGTTTGATCAAATAGCACAATGCCACAGATGTTGCAACCTTTGAGGGAGCGCGCAGTTGGCATGCTGACTGCAGGAATGTCTACCAGAGCTGTTGCCCATTAAATAATTGTTCATTTCTCTGCCATAAGCCGTCTCAGGGAAGCTCATCTGCATGCTCGTCGTCCTCATCGGGGTCTGGACCTGACTGCGGTCCGTCGTCGAAACAAACTTGAGTGGGCAAACACTCCCATTTGATGGCGTTTGGCATATTGGAGAGGCGTTCTGTTCACAGATGAGTTCTGGTTTTCACTGTTTAGGGCAGATGGCAGACTGCATGTGTGGTGTCAGCGGTTTGCTGTTGTCAACGTTGTGGAACGAGTGGCCCATGGTGGCGGTGGAGTACTGGTGTGGGCAGGGGCATGTTATGGGCAATGAACACAGGTGCATTTTATTGACGGTATTTTGAATGCACAGAGGTATCGTGACGAGATCCTGAGGCTCATTGTTGTGCCATTCATCCACGACCATCACCTCATGTTGCAGCATGATAAAGCACAGCCCCATATTTCAAGGATCTGTACACAATTCCTGGAAGCTGAAAACATCCCAGTTCTTAAATGGCCAGCATACTCACCAGACATGTCACCCATTGAGCATGTTTGGGATGCTCTGGATCGGCGTATTCAACAGCGTGTTCCATTTCCTGCCATGATTCAGCAACATTGCACAGCTATTGAAGAGGTGTTGACCAACATTCCACATCCTATAATCAACAACCTGATCAACTCTGCGTGACGGAGATGTTTTGCCCTGCATTAGGCAAGTGGTGGCCACACCAGGTACTGACTGGTTTTGTGACCCCCCACCCCCCATAAAGCTAGTCAGCATGCCAATTGCACGCTCCTTCAAAGGTTGGAACATCTGTGGCATTGGGCTGTTTGATCAAACTGCACATGTCAGGGTGGCCTTCTATTGTGGGCACACCTGTACATTATTCATGCTGTCTAATCAACCCCATGATATGCCACACCTGTGAGGTGGGATGGATTATCTTGGTAAAGGGAAAGTGCTCACTAACACACGTAGACAGATTTCAGAACAATACTTGAGAGTCATGGGTCTTATGTGTATTTATACAAATTTTCAGATGTTTGAGTTCAGCTGATGAAAAATGGGAGCAAAAACAAAAGTGTTGTATATTTTTGTTCAGTGTATAAGCTACCATTTGTAAAACGTGAGAAACAGTCAATGAATTGGTTGATGTAACATTTTTGTTAATCCATCATTTTTACAAGCTTATCTTATCAATAGTTCCTGCAGAAATAGACCTTTTTATTAGGCTAACTACCTTTAAGAAATCAGCTGTATGTTCACAATGTGTTCTCTTTAAAGGTTCTTGACCTGAGATTCAACACGTTGGCAAGCCTTCATCCTTTGATGTATCTCACTTTGAGCACCATTGGAACAGATGTTCAGCTGGATGGAAACAGGTGGCAGTGTAACTGCATGCGCAGTCTACAAAGAAGAATGGCCTACGACAGCAGTAGAGGCTTGCAGGTTTGGAGCATAGTGTGTGCGTTCCCCTCCAGGGTCTTAGGCAGGGATCTTCTACAGCTGCAGGAGGAGGACTTTAATTGTTTAGGCACTGAAAACCGTCAAGACCTCCATCAAGATGTGACCGTCTATAGTGGCTCTGAGATACTGCTGTCTTGTCATGCTCAAGGTAGCTTGTTCACAAATTATGTCAAATAGCACCAAATTTAAAACAGGTTTTTCTAATTTACATAACTTTTTTTTCTTCTGTAGATTCTGTGCTGTGGACTCCCAGTGGTAAAGGATCTGTCAGCCAGCAAAATGCTGGTCTGCTAATCAGTGATGTCTCAGATAGCAACTCAGGACTATATGTGTGTGTGTCTGAGGAAAACCAAGTAGTCTCTGTTTTTAACCTCCAAATCAGTAAAAGAGGAGGTGCAAGAAAAGCAAGAAGTTTACCAAAATCCCATAGCTCAAGTCCCCCACAAAACACTGTTAATAGGGTGGGTGAAGTGAAAACACAGTATACAGAGTCTGACTTGGCTCTGGCTGTGTGTCTGTCTGTTTTCATCACATTTCTGCTAGCTTTTATTGTTGGAGTCCTGGCCAGACCTTTGATTGATATGCTTTGTAAACGGATTGCTAAGAAGAAAAGCCCTACTGCAACCTCTACTGAACAAAGACCGTATGACAATGAGGCCTTCTCCGATGGTGAAGAACAAGAAGGCCCAGGACCATTTAGAGAAAGGAGGGTCACATTTAGCACTGTGGACTTCATCGAAGACAGCAATGAACAGTCTTATGATGTAGCCAGTGGTGATCAGGAAAGAATCAGTAGTGATGCAGTGATTAAGTGTGAAGGAGGTGAGGCTGAGCCGTATGATCAAACTGCGGGAGATTCAGGAAGTGAACATTTATGTCATAGAAGTTTGGAGAATAAGCAGAGCTGTGACAGAGGAACAGGTGATTCCAATGAAAAAAGCATCCACCACAAGGAGTTTGAACATATTCCTGACCGATCTGAATTAGAAGAGAGGAGAAGTATGTCATCGTGCTCAGATTCATCTTTTTCCGAAAAAATCAGAAGACCAACTTATGTGGGGCGCAATTCTCCTCAACTGGCAGAAGACTCAGTTCAGCAGAGAGCTGATTTCTCTACAAAAACAGAGGTCACACAAATTTCTATGGAGGGAAAAAATGAAATTATTGGAATTTCTTCTGGACCTTCTCTACACACAAAAGTAAAAAAATCACTAGACTCTGACAATGAAGACTGTGACAATGAAGAACTTTTTGAATTCAGTGACTCAGCTGAAAGTCCGTCTGTTGGTTCCAGGGTGTTCGATTCTTATAATAATTTACAACAAAGTCAAGAATCTACTTCTGACAAGCAGAAAATGGAAGACATGTCTAGCTCTAGTTCCTACATCAGTGAAGATGAACCTACACATTATAATGTAAATTCTGACCGAGACATTGACCAGGGTGGTAATTATGATTCGTCTTCTAGCAGTGACAGTGAAAATGAAACAATATGCTACATGAAGCAACAGGGGAGGGATGAGGTGCACATGACAAGACCACCAAGTAAAGAATCTCAAACTGTGACAAATGTTCCTGAAAACCAGTGGCCTAGTGTTATTCTTGGGCAAAAAATAAGAATAAAGAGACGTCTGGATATCAAAGCTCCATCACAAAGTTCAGATTCATCTTCTAGTAATGAAAATGGTGATGACGCTAAAAGCTGCATGAAAAAACAAGAGCAAGAAGTGTTACACATGTCAAGGCCTCCAATTAAAGTCTCTCAAACAGTAAAACAAGAAAACCAATGGCCCACTGTTGACTTTGGAAAAGTAACACGATTCAAGAGGTGTCTGGATGTTAAAGCGCCCTCCATGAGTTCTGATTCATCTTCTAGTAGTGACAGTGAGGACAGTGCAAAAGGCTACATAAAAGAATTGGGGCAAGAAGAGGCGCACATGACAAGAACTCCAAGTAAAGCATCTCAAACAGTGACAAAAATGCCCAAAAACCAGTGGCCTACTGTTGATCTTGGGCAAAAAAGAAGAATCAAGAGACGTCTGAATATCAAAGCTCCATCACAAAGTTCTGATTCTATTTCTAGCAGCAACAGTGAGGATGAGACAACAGACAATGTAAAGAAACAGGAACAGGCAGAAGTACACATGTCAAGGCATTCAATTAATGTACCTCAAACAGTGATAATTGAGCCAGGAAATCAATGGCCTATTGTAAATTTGGAGCAACTAACACAAGTCAAGAGACGTATCGATATTAAGGCATCATCACAAAGTTATGATTCATCATCCAATAAAGACGGAGGTGGTGAAGCAAAAGGCCATGTAGTGAAACAGGAGCAAGAGAAGGTACATATGTCAAGGCCTCCAATTAAAGTATCTCAAATGGTGACAGAGTTGTCAGAAAACCAGTGGCCTTCTGTTGACCTTGTGCAAGTTACACAAATCAAAAGACATCTTGCTTTTAAAGCACCATCACCAAGATTTGATTTATCTCCTAATAGTGAAAGCGAAAATGAGACAACAGGCCCCATTCAGAAACAGGGGCAGGAAGACGTATACATCTCTCGGCATCCAGGTAAACTATCTCAAACAATGGCAAAGGAAAACCCAGAAAACCAGTGGCCAACAGTTGCTCTTGGGCGAATAATGATCAAGAGACGCCTCGATATCAAAGCACCAAGACCAATTGCTGATTCATCTTCTGGTAGTGACAGTGAGGATGAGATAACAGGCCACATACAGAAGAAGGGGGATGAAGAGGTGCACATCTCACAGCCTCCAGTTAAGATATCTGATACTGTGACTGGGGAACCATATAGCAAGTGGCCTACAGTTGATTTTGGACGACTACCACAAATAAAAAGACGTCTGGATATCAAAGGACCATCACAAGGTTTGGATTCTTCTTCAAGCAGAGAGAGTAAGGATGAAACCAAATCCCTGATACTGAAACAGGAGCATGATGAGGTACAGATTACAAACCCTCCAATAAAAGTGTCTCAGTGTCAAACATTAACAAAGGTTCTAGAAAAGCAGTGGCCTGTTGTTGACATTGAACAAATAACACAAATAAAAAGACGTCTTGATTTTAAAGGACCATCACCAAGTTCTGGTTCATCTTCTAATAGTCACAACAAGGATGATACAAAAGGCTACATAAAGGAACAAAAGGAAGAGGAGGTACACATTTCAAGGTCTCCCATTAAAGTGTCAAAGGTGCCAGAAAACTACTGGCCAACTGTTGGTCTAGAGCAAATAAAGATCAAGAGACGTCTAGATATCAAACCTCCATCACAAAGTTCTGATTCATCTTCTAGTAATGAAAGTGATGAGGAAACAAAAAGCCACTCAAAAAATCAAGAGCAAGAAGTGTTACAAATGTCAAGGCCTCCAATTAAATTATCACAAACAATAACAAATGTACCAGAAAACCAATGGCCTACTGTTCATCTTGGACAAGTAACTCAAGTCAAAAGACGTCTGGATTTTAAAGAACTATCACAAAGTAGTGGTTTATCTTCAAGTAGTCACACTGATGATGAAACAAAAGGCTGCACACAGAGGCTAGAGCAAGAGGAAGTACATTTGCCAAGGTCTCCAATTAAAGCATCTCAAACATTGACAAAGGTGCCAGAAAACCAATGGCCAACTATTGGTCTTGGGCAAATAAAGATCAAGAGACGTCTAGATGTCAAAGCACCATCATCAATTTCTAACCCATCTTCGAGCAGTGACAAGGAAGATGAAACAAAAATCCACACACATGGACAGGATCAAGTGAGGGAACAAACGGTCTTGCCTCCAATGAAAGTACCTCAAACATTGGCAAAGATTCCAGAAAAGAAATGGCCAACTGTTGATCTCGAACAAATAACGCAAATCAAAAGACGACTAGATTTTAAAGGACCATCCCTAAGTTCTGGTTCATCTTCTAGCAGTCACAGCACGGATGAAACAAAAGGCTACATAAAGGAACAAAAGGAAGAGAAGGTACACATTTCAAGGTCTCCAATTAAAGTGTCTACAGTGACAAAGTTGCCAGAAAACTACTGGCCAACTGTTGGTTTAGAGCAAATAAAGATCAAGAGACGTCTAGATATCAAACCTCCATCACAAAGTTCTGATTCATCTTCTAGTAATGAAAGTGATGAGGAAACAAAAAGCCACTCAAAAAATCAAGAGCAAGAAGTGTTACAAATGTCAAGGCCTCCAATTAAATTATCACAAACAATAACAAATGTACCAGAAAACCAATGGCCAACTATTGGTCTTGGGCAAATAAAGATCAAGAGACGTCTAGATGTCAAAGCACCATCATCAATTTCTAACTCATCTTCGAGCAGTGACAAGGAAGATGAAACAAAAATCCACACACATGGACAGGATCAAGTGAGGGAACAAACGGTCTTGCCTCCAATGAAAGTACCTCAAACATTGGCAAAGATTCCAGAAAAGAAATGGCCAACTGTTGATCTCGAACAAATAACGCAAATCAAAAGACGACTAGATTTTAAAGGACCATCCCTAATTTCTGGTTCATCTTCTAGCAGTCACATCATGGATGAAACAAAAGGCTACATAAAGGAGCAAAAGGAAGAGGAGGTACACATTTCAAGGTCTCCAATTAAAGTGTCTACAGTGACAAAGTTGCCAGAAAACTACTGGCCAACTGTTGGTCTAGAGCAAATAAAGATCAAGAGACGTCTGGATATTAAAGCGCCATTCCAAAGTTCTGATTCATCTTCCGTTAATAAAAGTGATAATCAAACAAAAAGCCACTTAAAAAGTCAAGAGCAAGAAGTGTTACACATGTCGAAACCTCCAATTAATGTCTCTCAAACAATGACAAAGGTGCCAGAAAACCACTGGCCAGCTATTGGTCTAGAGCAAATAAAGATTAGGAGACGTCTGGATATCAAAGCACCAACACAATGTTCTGATTCATCTTTTACTAGTGACAATGAGGATGTAACAAAAACTCACATAAAGACACAGGAGCAGAAGGATCTTCACCAGCAAAGTTCTACAATTAAAGTATCTCAAACAGTGATAAAAGTGCATGAAAACCAATGGCCTACTGTTGATTTTGGGCAAGTAACTCAAATCAAAAGGCGTTTAGATTTCAAGGCACCAACACCAGGCTCTGATTCATCCTCTAGTAGTGAACAAGGGATAGGCATGATAATATCTTCAATAAAAGCATCACAATCAGTGACAAAGGTGTCAGAAAACCAGTGGCCTGTCGTGGATCTTGAGGATGTAACACAAATTAAAAGGCGTTTAGACTTTAAAGCTCCACCACCTTGGTCACCCTCATCCAGACGTGAAAGTGAAAATGAGGACAAAGACCTCCAGGCTCGTGTAAAAATGGATTACTCTGCCTTATCAACAACTTCAGAAAATAATGTTAAGTCCTTAGACGCTCCAGTAATGAACATTTTTCATACTCCAAGGAAAGACTACAACATTAAATTAGAAAAGTATTCAGTTATTCCAGACCATTTGGAGAACAAGCCAACAAATGACACCATAGATGTAACACCAGATATTAACCCAGAGCTTCAGACCCGATGGGCCACAATGAATCTTGGTATTTCCCGCTTCAGAAAGCGTCTAGAAATTACACCATCAACAACAGAACCACACAGTCTGTCTTCACCATACTCTGAACACTCTTCCAACACTGAAACAAGACCTGAAAGCAGACCAAGATTACACAGAAAAAATGTTGAGATGCAGGGAAAAGACTCATCCCCAGTGCTTGAAAACAAAGCACAGAATGTTTCCATCACTCTAAAAGATCCATATCCCAAGTACACCTCCTTAGGTAATAAGGAACCAAATGTAACAGAAGGACAAAAGACCGAGCTTGACACCATGTTAAGTGGTTTTGGTTCTCAACGCACTGAAAGGTATGAAGATATCTGGGTTGGTGAAAAGGCTTCAACCACAACTTCACAACAGCAGCCTTATACATTTTCAAAAACTGACATTAAGAGAAGTGTTCCTGACCTGAGTATTGGTGTCCCACGCATTCAAAGGCGACTGGATATTAAGGCTCCATCCCTAGAGTCAAGTTATGCTTCATCTTTCATCAATAAAAGTGAAAAGAATGTGAAGGAATACAGCAAAATGCAAAGCAGACAAATATCACCTGTACAGGAAACTACAGATGACTCACTTATCACTTATAAACGTTCCATCATCAAACAATCATCGCCCCTTCCTTGGAACTCTTTCCCTCCAAGAGACAGGAGTCAAACAGCTTTTGTTACACTAGAGGATGATAGAAATGCATCTCTTGTCCCAAGGACTGGTAAGAGTGTGAGCTTTGATCATATTGTAAAAAACAAGATCAGACAGTCCAGATCCAACACAGATGAGGACTTGCCAGATGAAATTAGATGGACTGGAGTTGGTCATCACTTATCTGACCTGTCAGAAGCCAGTCTGAATGCAACTACAGTCGCACAGCCACAGTCTCCCCCACATGGCATCTCCAGCAGTACAAGTGTTGTTCACAAAATGCAAGACAATGGGAAATCGGATGTGACACTAATGAGTAAACACTCATCACCTGACACTAAAGGTGTTTCACACTCATCCAGTGATTCTCTCGACATGTTTGGTGTTTCACCCCTCAGAGCAAATGAGACAACAGAAACAGTATCAGAAGACAGGCAAAACAGGGGCCTCGGTGCCCTGAAAGCCATGTCACTGGAGAGAAAACTTTGGGAGACAGATTATGGTAAAAATCCATCAGCATCATCTGATGGTCTACAAGATGACACCAAATTTGATTATGGCCTGTCAAAACGGGGCATTGATGTGCTACCGAAAGAACCAGTGGAACATCTTCCTTCAGCTTCAGTGGAAAAGAGAAAAGATGCAGATTTGCTATTGCTGTTATATGGAGTTCCACGCTACAAAGGGCATGGAATTAAAAACCTATTGCAGGAGGCTCCACCTCCTCTTCCAGAAACCCCTCCTCCAGATGACTGAGAAGGGCAAACACAAAAATAACAAGGATAGGTCTTATTTTTCTAAGTAAATTGCAGAATTTGACACGTCTTTGCTTTTACAAAAACTGTTTGTGGAGAAGTTAAGAATTTATTTTTTATGTGTCTACATTTTTTTTGGTTCAGTTTTTAAGATAACTTCTAATTGCACAAGTTAAAGATTAAAAGCTTTAACGGTCATATAAGATCCAGCAGGTTTAAAAACAATCAAGATTTTAATAACATCTCTAAATACTGTTAGATTATGCTGATGTAATTCATCAGACCTCTACCACTTCCTCTCTTCACTCTGTTAATATTATTTATAACAGCTTATGTCGTTCTGTATTGCGTTGTCCATTCCAAACTCATCACTGTCAACACGTCTATTCTGGCTTCCAGTTGGAGCTAGGCTGAAGTTTCACTGGTTGCTGTTTATTTTCAAATGTGTTCACTTTAATTTCCCATCATATTTAACCACTTTGCTAATACCGTGCCACTCTTATCACATTATTTGCAGAGCTGATCAAATTTCATTGGTAAAACCCAGTTTAAAAAGGAGTCAGGGAAGCTGGCTTTTTCTGTCAGAGCTCCAGTGGACTGGAACAACTTACCAGCAGCTTTAAGGTCCATCACATCCTTTCGTTTGTTTAGAACTTTTGTATATCAACATGTTATGCCTATTTGCAATCGTCTTTAGATTTATTTTTTTTACACCCACGTTCTTTATATATTCTTCTGTGCTTTTTATAGATTTTTAGGAATGTTTCAGATGTTTTATATATAAAACAAATATGTTTTGGATATATATAAAGTGATTAGCGTCTTGGAATGGTCTTTTATTAACTCTGTTATCTTGCTTTCTGTTTATTGTATGGTTAGAGGACCCGTTCAAAAACCAGATGGTACATCTCTGGCGGTTTAATTCTCTTAAAAAATGAGTTCATAAATAAATAAAATGTATACTTATTTGAATTAACATTAGTAATGAATTAAGATATCGGCCAGTAAGTTAATAAACCCTTTTATTTTCGTGTATAGACATTGGTTATAGTGAAAACAGACATATAGACATTAAATTGTTTACATAATATACAGTTGGGACAAGGCTGTTCATCCTCCTGCATTTTTATGGAAGAATACCAAAACAACTATGTCTACACAGTATTTGGTAGCAATCCAACAGCTGGTCTAATCTGTTTTTGCTGAAGGATGATACTTCACAATGACTGGATTTTAATGGACAAACGTCGCTATTTGAAATGTGCATTTGTGTGAATAATGGCAAACCAAATATTTTATGTACTTTAAATAAAATAATTCATCACACGGTCTGCAGCCTGTTGGGGTTTAAAATGTGTGTAAAGATGCAGAATATGGGATAAATGCAGGAGGGAACTCTCGCTCCATCATGAGGTTACAGGTGTGTTCCAGGTCTTAGACACAATTGTGTTTTTCTCATTAGAAAAATAAACTAACATGGTTGTGTATGCCAAAGCAAGCACAAAACATGTGCACGAATAACTGTACAAAACAAAAACATGTTTGAAAAAATGTTTTTGAGCAATCTCATCCATTTGCTGTTCTCTGCTGGAGCATGCATGCAAATAGTAAATCTTCTGACAGTTCAGCATTACGTCACAGTCAAGGACAAAAAAATTTATACAAGTACATTACACTAGGCAAACAGAACAGCATAGCATCATTACACACAGAACAGCATAGCATCATTACACAGCTCCAAACTGTCAGTGTCCACTGTTTACATCCTACAGGTGGTACAAAAATACTTTGAGCAGAAATAACTCACAAGCCTACTAGGATGTTGCTCTCGGAGGGTGCATGGTGTTCCACTGTAGTTACCGTATATTAACACTGTCAGTTTTGGGAGAGATGCTACTGGTAAAAGGAGACCAGAAAGTGGACTAGGGAAGACAAAAAGATGCCATATACTGAGACTAAATAGACACTGTCTAGCTCTATGCTAATTCATAACACAGCCTAAACAGTCTGGATTCATCCTGAAATATTACCTGACCAAGTGTGTGTGTGTGTGTGTGTGTGTGTGTGTGTGTGTGTGTGTGTGTGTGTGTGTGTGTGTGTGTGTGTGTGTGTGTGTGTGTGAGTGACACAAAACGTGACTTCCATGTTTGAGGCACAATAATACTCCTACCAACACAATGTAGATACATACATTGGTCTTTAGACCAACAGATGCGGAGCTCACCACTGCACTGTAGTGAGAGTTGGTAAGCAGCAATGTTGATCCGTTTGGTGTTGTGAGATCTGAGAACCCAGCAGTGGGCTAGCAGACAGCATTAGCAGAACAGTTAGAGAAACAGGAAAACTGGAGGGAATAAAAAGAACTGGCTTATATTGATAGTAAACAGCACAGGCATCAGAAACCCACAGTCAACCCTTTTGACACAGTGTGCTTTTTGAAATACTATCAAACTCAAATAACGAAATAAAATTAAAATAAAAAAACAGTAGTTAGTGCCATTTGTCCAGAGAAGCTCAAGTTTAAGTTGATTGCACGAGTATTTAATACTTGAGTGTGCCCAGGTCCAAGTGACGTGTAAGACTCAAACACAATGTATGAAAAGTTGCTCCAGTTGGTATCTTGGTGCTGAAGAAGGGCTGGTTCTGCCACACATTACCATTTTACCTCCATCCATCCACTAAACCGGATGGATTTCAGCAATGTGACGTGTCACAATGACGAGAGCAACACCACAGGGGGATTGCTGCAAATCGACCCACAATGCAACTTCCTCATGGCGAGTTAACTCCACAATAACAGCCTTCTGCCCTGACAGTCGAGGCAGAATCCAGCTGAGCTGTAAACCCAGCGCCCCCCACCCCCATCCACCCACCACAGAACCCCTCCTTTACCAGGAAGCACCCACTGTCACTGCTTTACCGTTTGTTTGATGTTTGCGTATTGGTTGTTGATTTGTTGTGGTCACAGTTGTCTTTTATTTTTCCTTTTCCATCCTCAGCTATGACATCTGTCTTTCTTTGTACCATTCCACAAATTCATCCAACAAAACTGGCCCTGAAAAAAGACAAGACAGAGAACCATCATTTCAAATGTGGACTCTGATGACCCACCTTATGTATAATAAAGTGTTCACTCACAGGCCCCATCCTCATCGTAGTTACTAAGATCCAGGTTGATTGTCCTGCTGAACTCTAAAACGTTGCACCACTGGTCTTTGTTGATGACTTTATACTTGGATTGCTGAGAAACCAAACAAGCACCACAGATTAAGGCAACAGCTACTGTGTGATTATCTTTTGCTGCATGCTCACCTCTAAAAACTGATTGAAGACAGGAAACAGAGGCCACGTCTTCCCCAGAAGAAGTCCCAGCATGCACTTGGCTGTGTTCAAGTCCAAACTCCTCTGATCTTTTTCCTGTCCAGTCACAACTCACAAGACTTAATAAAAAACAACCACTTTAAACAAACCTTGCTTTATTAATAAAAGTAGATCAGCCACATGCACTAAACTAGACGGATTTCAGAGCCCATCGTTTATAAAATGAATTTCTGTAAGCCAAAACTGGGGTTTTATACCATATTTTACATTTTTATTTCATCTATGAAAGCTGCATGTCTAATATAGGAAAAAAACTGAAGGTAGATTTGATTAGCTAAAAATATCAAATTTGATCCTGAGCTACATTTCTGCTTAGTTTAGGTTATAAGTTAAACTGTGTGCATGCGGCTCAATGGTTGAAAGAGTTTTTTCAGCGTACCCGAGCAAAATCAAAGGCGTATCTGTAAATGAGCTTAAAACTGGTGCCGTCGTTCAGCACAGATCTCAGGTAGTCGAGGGAGTTCCTCAGCCTCTCGGTGGAATCGCACCTGACAACAGCAGAAAATTACCTCAGACACACTTCAACGCCAAATCCACAGAGAATCACAACCGCAGAGGAAGTAGAAACTTTTTCTCAAAGAGAGCAAATGTAAGAGACAGTAAGTAGCTGACATACTGAAGGGAACCCATGCCTCGTAGCCACTCCTGAAGAGTAAAATATCCCATACTCTGGGCATCCAGTTTCCAAGCAAGCACCAGCATCACCACCTGGGCATAAATAGAAGATGTTACAGCAGGTATGTCCTACCAGGTTCCTGTCAGGCCTCACTGACTACGTTTACATGCAGCCAATATCCGGGTTATGATCGGGTTAAGGTCGGTATTCGGGTTTCTGAGTTGATCAGAATAACCCGTTTACAAGCATAAATAGAAAGAGTTACCCCTAACTTGCATAACCCGATGTAAATGCGGACGTTGGGGTAGCGTCAGGACGTGTGGACTACGTCCAGACGCAATATGCGTCATTTCCGGTTCTTCTTGTTCCGGTATCCGTGAAAACAACAACATGTTTCCCAGTTCGGAAGAGATAGCGACCGCGTTTGTTTGCGCTTTAGTGCTGGTATCGACCCACCAGCAGCTCTTACGACTGTGCGTACTGGCCTTCATTCGAAGGAGAGTACGTGAGCAACTTGTTTACTTCCGGTGTTCTGGCGCGTACACGACGTCTCGCTACTCAAAAGACCAAGATTTCTTGCGAACAGAGCATGCGCAGAACACACGCTTTGATGGGGATATCCCGGTATGCGTTTACACGACCAAACATTCGGGTTAGAAAAGGGTTACCCCAGGTGTAGTAACCGGGTTTTTGGCGGTGTTTACATGGACCTGCGGAACCGGGTTATTGTGAATATTCGGGTTTCAAAAGGGTTACTGGCTGCATGTAAACGCGCTCTGTGACCGCTGAATTAAAGACTGCAGCAGTGTCTTTTAAAGGTCCAAAGGAATCAACATTTATTTTTGCACAAATATAAACCGAAACAGACTTCCAGGCAAGGTCAAAGCAGACTGCTGCCATATTAAATAGAATCTGATATGCAGGATTTCATTGGTTTGTTCATGCATTATTTCATAAGGACATTTTTAATATTTCTGCCATAATAATCATGTAATGCAAAATTAACAGCTGTCATTTTAGGAGCATGAAGCTGGTGTCAGTGAGCTGCTGGAGGCACCAGCGAGTTTAAGAAGAAGAAGAAAATATCATTTCTATAGCGCCTCTCAAGATAAAAATCACGAGGCGCTTCACAAAAACAAAAAAAAAGTAAAAATATTAAAAAAAGCATTTAGAAAATGTTTAAAAATATATTTAAAATGGGCAAAAATAGGCAATTGGGATTTAAAAGAAAAAATGTTAAGAAAGAGAGAGAGTGAACAGGAAAGAGGGAAATCAGTGGATCCTGAGGAAGGTGGAATAGGTGGGGAGAGCAGAATAAAGAGAGAGAGGTGAAGAAGGTCATACAAAAGCCGGCTTGAGCAAGTGAGTCTTCAGCTGCTTTTTAAAGGAGACCACTGAGTCCACTGGTCTCAGGCTCAGGGGGAGAGAGGTCCAGAGTCTGGGGGCCACAGCAGCAGATGATCTGTCACCTTTGACCTTTAGCCTGGTGCTGCACAACCAGTAGGCTTTGGTCACTGGACCTCAGGGACCTGCTGGGGGTGTAGGGACTAAGAAGATCACCAATGTAAGATGGTGCTTGTCCATGTAAGGCCCTATAGACCAGAACCAGGATCTTGAAATGAACCCTGAAGTTGACTTAAGGGGACTTAAACCCCATAAGCAGGTTCAGGAAGGCCTCTACTACAGGTAAGATTGTAATTATTCATCAGAGATGAGAACTGTGGTATCAACAAGTCATCTCCATGCCGTGTTTTAGTTCTGCTCAGCAACTGAACTAGGTTCATTTACTGTGCTGATTGAAATCCCCTGGTTTAGTTGCTGAGTTGAAGAAAAACATAGCATGGAGATGACTTGTTGATGCCTCAATTCCCCATCTCTGTTATTTATATATAGAAACACATTCAAAATGGTCAAAATATTCCTTTAAAGGCCCCAAGAAGAAACAACATAATCAACAAGTAATACATCTTTCAAAAATAAAAAATAAAGGCAAAAAATGGGTTCAGCAAAAAGGTTTGACCAGACATGGTTCCTGGGACGGGCACAGTAATCAAGAGGGCCAGATGACCTGAAAGTCTCTCTGTAAGCAAGCACTAGTGGTGTGGTGATATTTTAGAACGGCCATAAGTAGCCAGGGATGTGTAATGGAGCAACTTTTGACCTTTAGGGTGTGTTGAATACCTGCAGTGGGTTTCGTGAGACCTGCTAGAACCCACTGAGGTAGCTATGATGAGACAATCACGAGTCGGGGACCATAGAACAGCAGCTGTTGCCAAGTTAACCGGATTCTCTTTACCTGCTTTTAGGACGTGAAAACAGATTGCGCTGCACATCAGATCTGTGTATATTTGTGTTTTAGGGATGCAAATTTGTTGATTTATGTCAACAGATTTCAGATTGTAAAAGCATTAATGTGTATGCAAATGCTGACCGTATGTTGCTATGACTAAAATTCCTGTTTCAGTGTCACTGAGACAGTGTGATGGGCAGCCAAAGGAGGAAATAGAATAAACTAAGATCATGCAAATGGAACCAAACCAAAACCTTGTCCAGTAGTGAACAAGTCTAAATAAAATCTGCTCACGTTTTCAGGCTCCACTCCGATGTCCTCACAGAACTTCTCTATGCCCTCTGGACCCACCACATCGTCACAACCTAGGTGAGCCGAGCAGCATCACACAGCATTAACTCAGCTACAAACACAAAGATCAGTGACTAAACCAAAATGTGTGATGACTGCTCACCTGCATATTCATAAAACCACTCCAAACATCTTTTACTAGAAAACGTCTCCTCCTCCCGGATTTGCGATGTTTCATGTTTTCTGAAAACACTGTAGATAATGAGACGATGTCAGCCGTGAGCTAAGCAGCAAAACTACAGAAGCATATTTGTGTCCATGTTTATTTTAATAAGCCACAACAATCAAGTTTCCTGAAAACCCTCCTGTCACCTCTCTTGGCGACTTTTCTTGGCTGACATGTCATCTCCAGCAGAAGGTCTCCTCTTTTTCCTAGGTGGCATGGCTCTTGAGTAGCAAGCTGTCAAAATAATTCACAGCAGATCAGTATCAGCAGAACTAGCGTGCAAACTGCATGAAGAACAGAAAACACTCGTAAGGATTTTACCTGACGGGTGGCTATCCTGTCCAACGTCTTCAGCCAGATTCTAACAAATAAAAGCATGTGAATAAAAAAAGAAACATTCACTTCACACAAATAATCAGCCTTCTGTTAGATAGTTACCAGCCTGTGTAAGGTGTGGTGAATCTTGTGGATGCTGGCCAGTGTAGTCAAACGAGAATTCAGCTGAAAATCTATCCACAAAAACATTTAAATGACATTTTAGAAAAATCCAAATAAGGCTTCATTTATAACTTAATACTCGACCTAATCATGTAAGGTTATGAAGAGGTGACGTCAACAACGCTAATAATGGAGACTTGAATCCTACGTTGCCTATGAACACAACATTACCATTTAACCCACACATATGATGTGTTTAGGGCTTTAAAATGGCAGAAAAAGACCCTCACGATTGACTCCCTGTGCTACTGAAAGGACAGGACTAAAACGCTAATATATTCGATTATGGCGGCTACCTTGTGAGTAAAAGCCGGGTGTGTGTTGCTGTTTAGTACAGAATTATCACTAGAGGCAAAACTCAGAGAAACGGCAGAGATAAACGAGCGGATAGCACTAGCTGCATACCAAAAATAGCAGTAGACGAGCAACTTGCAGAGTTTACAAAGTATCCAGAGAGCCGGGCGTCTGGATGTTGTAGTTCTTTTCCTTTATAGTGGTCGTTAGAAGCTAAGCTTTGCTTGGGTTAATAAACTACAATACCCACGTCTCTACAAAACAACTCTTTCTTTCAGACTCATCTCCCCCCAACATGTACCTTTTCCGACTGAATACATTTTACATTGATTAATAAATGTAATGCGACATGGTCACTGACAGGAAAGCACTGTGGTGACGTTTTACAGAAGCTAACGTGGGCTATGAAAAAATTGCTAGCACTGTTGCAGCAAGCAACGAAAGATGTTTTACACAACTGCGTCACAATTTTCCTTCTCTCTTACAGTCCGCAGCTGACCCGAAAATTGGCCGAATCACGCCGAATTACAAGTTTGAGTTTAAATATTATGTGCGCCACGAGTAACGAGGAATAGGAACGCCACAACGCACCGACTGCAATCGAAAATCCTCTGAACTTAAGCAGCGTCGGTGGAATTTAACCTAAAACAGCAGCACAACCCGAAAATAATTACCAGAAATAAACTTATCGTGTCTCAGCAAACGTTTACAACTGAAAATAGCTATAATTACTGTAGCCATCCTTCCTTTGTTGTCGACCCAGACAGCACTGGCAAATACAAAGAGACTAGCAAATAAGACAGGATTCATGCGTTCCCATGAAACCTGACAGACACACGGGACAAAGGCGGATGTAGAAACACAACGCGTCCGTTTTTTCTGTCTGATACGCGCACCAACAACGAGAAAGGTCGCAATTTGATGCAGAAACGTTCTCACTTACTTGCCGCATCAGAGTGCATTTTTATGAAACATACAACTGTCCGTGGGAAGTCCGTAGACCGGCCAATAGGCGGGCCTTGTTAGCGTAAAGGACGCCCGTACGCAGTAACTGAAATTCGGCTTGAAGTCTCTGCCCTTGCTCGCTTTCTATTGGCTAATAAATATGTCCTTTCTGGAAGGGGCGGGAAAAACAGACAGGAGAACGCCTATTTACTAATCGGATTGGTCAGAGCTCCTCCAATGGGCCGTGCTACGTGTACGTCAATCACTAGAATTTCCTCGTGCAAGCCTAAAGCCGGCCCACGATGAGACCTGATTGGTCGTTCAGGTGTTCGCTGTTTTATATGGGTTAGGTTGATAAGTGTTATGGTTAGTAAAATAATTAGTAATTCGTAGTTTTGTTTTGTTTTCCCACTAGGTTCACACTTACTTTCCTTATTCAAACAAAGTGAGCACACATGCAAATAAATTATATTGGATCACTAAAACAGATAATATGACATTTTGAAATATTTAAATCAACAATTTTTTTGGCCTATGTCGGCAAGCACAAAGGCTGAGAAGAAATGAGTTTTAATCTGTTTTCAGCGTGATCAAGCCCAACACCTGTACGTTAATGGTGTGTTCACCTTTGGATCTTCATGGTAAGATGGGTTAGGTAGTCACTGTTTGTTCAAGGCGATTGTATTGTTGTTATTAGCAGCTGATATGTTTTATTACCACATGGAGGATCATAAAAACTGGTCTAATACAGAGAAAATATGAGCAGCTTTCTCAACCAAAAAGTAGTTTCTCTAAAATTACTAGTGTTTCTATTTTGTTTTGTCTTTTAATTAACATCTTGCTATTAAAGTGACTTGTTTGTAATTTATGCTGAGTAACACACTGCCTGTTCAAAGAAAAGTCACCACCTGGATTTAATTAAAGCAAATAGACATGACCTGCTGGGCCTGACTCCAGTCTTTGACACTGTTGACCATCACCAGGTACTGAATAGACTGAGAGACTGGTCTATCAGGATGTGCTCTGGAGTGGTTCTCCTCATATTTGTCTATTCCTTCTTTGTGGCTATCTCCAAGTTTAGGTCCTCCACCACCTTCTCCACACACGGTGTACCACAAGGTTCTGTGCTGGGGCCCCTACTGTTCCTCCTCTGTCTGCTTCCTCTTCAGCACATACTGAGCTTCTTCAAAGGAATCTCCTACCATCTTTACACAGATGACATCCAACTGTACATCTCCTTTAAGCCCCATGAGATGTCTAAGCTTGGTGCAGCAGTAGCTCATCAGGTAGAGCGGGTTGTCCAGTAAACTCCTGAAGACCCTGCTCTTCAGAGAGCATCTTCTTAACTAGCACCTTGCCTGCACCCGTCCCCCCTCTCTACTGTCCACTACTTGTTCCCTCCTCTCCATGACTGATGTTAATGTTGTTGTTGTTATTGTTGTTGTTAGCCTCAAGGGCAAAATGCCGATTATCACTTGTATGTCGCTTTGGACAAAAGCGTCTGCTAAACACATAAACATAAACATAATCGGAAGGCTGCAGATTCGATCCCGGCTCCGGACAGAGAATGCTGCTGTTGTCTCCTTGGGCAAGACACTTAACCCACCTTGCCTGCTGGTGGTGATCGGAGGGACAGTTGGCGCCTGTGCTTGGCAGCCTCGCCTCGGTCAGTGCGCCCCAGGGCAGCTGTGGCTACATCGTAGCTCATCACCACCAGTGTGTTAATGTGTGTGTGTGTGAATGAATGATACACTGTAGTATAAAGCGTTTTGGAGTCCTTACTCTGAGAGGTGCTATACAAGTGCGGGTCATTTATCATTTATCATTAAGCTGCAGCTGTTACACACCTGCTTAGACCTGGATGGTGGGAGCTTTCTTCAGCTGAATGAAGATCAGACTGAGATCCTCATCTGTGCCCCAGACAAGCTGGTTCCCAAAGTCAGAGACTCTCTTGGTCAGCTTGCTTCCCACACCAAACCTTCCGTCAGGAATCTTGGTGTGACCTTTGACCCAGCTCTCACCCTGGATTCTCATGTCAGTTCTCTTGTTGGCTCTTCCTTCTTCCATCTCAGGAACGTTGCTAAGCTGAGTCCCATTCTGTCCCGCTCTGAACTTGAGACAGTTCTCCACACCTTCATCTCCTCACGCTTAGACTACTGTAACTCTCTTTTCACGTGTCTGAGCAGTGTTGTGTGGTGGGGTGAGTACTCCTCATCTCTATAACATCTTTAGCAATCAGCGGCAGCTGCAGCTTCTCAGGTCATCCGCAGCAGAGCTCTATATAAGAGGAGAGGGAACCACTACACAGCGCTGGATGATTAACTACTCATGGTAGTATTTTGGCCACTCGTTCTAGGTTGCTTGGTTTCTAAGTAGATAATTGGCTTGGAGAATTTCTTGGATTATTCTTGGACTCTTGTGTTGGATTTTTGGACTCAAGTTTTGTATCCTCTCTCCAGGATTACTGGACAATCTTCCCTGACACTCTGGGGTTGTTGGATATTATCCTCCATCCAAGAAGCAGAACCTTACTGGATTACTCACCTGGAAAGAACCATACCTTCCTGGACTTCACGGTTCGCCTCTCCTCTTATTCCTCTGCCACCCTGCCTGGCTCCCTCTCCTGGACTCACCCCGTCACTCCACCTGCCCTCCTCGACCTCCTCCACCTGCAGAACTTGGACTTTCTCTGGCTCCAACTACTCTGGGTTTATTCCAGGGACACCTTTTGTTAGATTCCTTAAAGAGCAAGTCAACCCCTACCAGATTCTAACTCCACTCCCACTTCATGTTTGAAAAATGCAACACATGCTGTTGCCTGGCAGACCGAGGGGGCGGAGCTGCTAACAAATACACACACACTCAGTTTCACGACAGCATTGTGACATCATAATGTACCAGTTTACATCATAGCATACTTCTTAGCCAATAGCGGTGGCAGATTTAAATTAAAATACAGTGCAGAGTTTTTACCTGACAACGGCACAACACTGCCAGTTTTAGGCAGAATATTTAAATTTTAACTAAGATGCACTGAAGTGCCAAATTATTGACGACACGTGTCTGCAGCACGATTAGACACTCGTTTATTTAGTTTATCAGCAAAAAAAAGTTTATTTGGGGGTGACTTGCTCTTTAAATAAATCATTGTTTTGAACTTTTGCCCCCGTCTTGTGATGATTCTTCATGTCGTGGGTTAAACACATTCCCAGGAACATGACAGAATCATCCAGCCAGAACTCTAACCCCGTGGATTCATCATTAACCAATTTTGGCTCCAGGTTAACTCAGCAGGAACAGGTCCTGCCCATCTTAATGGAGCAGCTCCAGGCACAGAATCCCTCTCTGGGAGGCGCCTCCACCTCCCAAGGACACCCCGCTGTTCTTGTACCCAACGCTGAGGGGGCCGCTGCCCCGGAACCCACCTACTTCCGCGCCGCCCCTGCACCACCTGCTCAGACTTACAGCGGGGAATTCGAGGAGTGCCACAGTTTTCTCCTACAGTGTAGGCTGGCGTTTGCTCGATCTCCAGGTGCTTTCCAGACTGAGGTTAGTCAAATTTCTTATATTGTTGGACTGCTACGTGGGAAGGCTTTACGGTGGGCAGAGGCTAAGAGCCACAATCCTGCCTTTTTGGCAGGTCCCTTGGAGACTTTCCTGGCAGATTTTAAACTGATTTTTGGTTCTGACGTGTCCCCCATGGATATAAGCAGGAGGCTATGGACGCTGTCTCAAGGGCAGAGGACGGTGGCAGAGATGACCCTAGAGTTCCGAACGCTGGCGGCTCGATCCGCCTGGAACGATGAGGCTCTCATCGCCACTTTCACGGAGGCCCTAAACAGCCGCATCAGAAACCAGCTCGCTATGTGCCTGGAGTCCCTGGAGGGGTTGATCAAGCTGGCCATCTCCCTCGATAAGAGACACCGGGAGCTCCACGTACCTACTTCTGCACCGGCGATCAGATCAAGTCGAGTGGTAGAGGGCCGTTCAGGGTCAGTAAGTCATTCCCCACCTGAGGTTCTCGCCCCGGAGGAACCCATGCAACTAGGGAAGACCAGACTCAGCCAGGAGGAGCGTGAACATCGCATGAGGTCGGGTCTTTGCATGTACTGTGGGGGGTCTGGGCATTTTGCTAGAACTTGCCCGGTCCTGGTAAAAGGGGGTGCCCACCGGTAAAGTCGGGACTACTGGTGGGCACCCCAGTAGTTGGAACAGAGGGCGGTGTGTGTGTGTGTGTGTGTGTGTGTGGGGGGGGGGGGGGGGTAGAAAAGTTCATAGGGAGGTGCAGTCTGTAAATGAGTGATAATTACTCACAAGTCACAATTATTAAAAGGGTTTCTTGGGTTCTTTTCTTATGATCCCCCCCCCCCCCCCCCCCCCCCACGCCCCCAAAAAAACCTAGTGGTCCTTGTCCAGATTTTTAACAATAACGTTGTTAGTGATACATTTAGGATCAAAATGTGAATATTTTTACATAACTCTGAAAATTGTTTCAGATGTGAACAAACCATCATAACAAACTGTGAATCGATAACATGGATAAACTTCAGCTTCCCATGTGTTTTATGGCGTTCCACATTCTGTTCAAAGCTTACACTTTAGAATTCAATGTGATATAATGAAGTATTTAAAACCAGAAACAGCAATTTTCTTCTGAAAATAAAACAAGTAAGCAAAGAAAGTTTATTAAAAATCTTTGTTTTTGATTAAAAAGTCAGTGTTTCACACTATGATTCAATGAATACATCATGGAATAATAAAAAGTATAAAAATGCACATACTGTCAGAGTCCAAGCCCCCAGGCCGGGCTCTCCCAGCTGACCGGCTTCTGTCTCGGACCATTACCCAGCATGCCCCTCGCGGGGATTCCCTCCACGTTGCACCTGCGTCATCCATGTCTATATATAGAAGACGCCACACCAGCTCTTCACTCAGTCATCGTTCCACCGTGATCCATGATCAGAGTATTCTGAAGCTAAGACAGTTAAACCTCCACCTTTCTAACTCAGACCTCATCCTTCCATCAGCCTTTTCAGCACCGCTTGCAGCCAGCAGTCTCTAATAAAGCTCGTACTCCCAAACCCAGTCTTCGACTCTGACACATACTAAATTCAGCATTATGTCAGCATATATTTTGTATAATGATATACCGTAAATCCTCTAATACAGGCCTGTATTCAATTAACGGCCGGGTCTCATATTTTGGCCGGTGTCGGAGTCGGCGGAGGTGAATAATGGCCGGTCTCTTATTGTGGCCGGGTGGAATGTGGTAACAAGCAAGTACGGGGGCGGTTGTGTCATCGCCTCACTTTTGATTTGCCAGTGATAGACCGCGAGGGTAACTTTAACCGTGCGGAGACGAAGAGGTGAAAATTTGATATCAAGATCAAAGAGAAAGTGCGCTGCAGAACACTCTGGGGAGCAATAGGGGTTGTATGAACTAGTCAACTTCACTATAGTGACTTTTTATGCCTGTCGTCGACTAGTCGCTGTCACGTGATAATGACCGGCAAGATGCAGTCCTCGGAAAAGACAGCAGCCTGCTGTCAGCAGGTGACAAGCTCCTGCGCTGGGGGGGGGGGCAACGCGCTGTGCCAGTGCGCGTCGGTACTGACACGCGATCGTTCATGTCGGCTCATTTCCTTTAATGTTTTCTGTCTTTTATTTGCGCCTGATGTGTTTTGCTGCTGTGGAGCGGGGCGCATCACCTTGTCCTCCGACGCACCGATCACTGATGCGGCCGGCGAGCAGCGAGCACTCCGCTGTTTTTGCGGTCGGTAGATCTTTTAGAACTGCAGTTCAAAGGTAACTCATTAGGGGAATATATATGAACCCAGGTAGCAGTTTTTCTTTAGGATTGAGAGGAGATGCAGGAAGATAATAAACAGACAGGACAGAAAAATAGTCAAATAAAAACAAGTTAGTTTTTGTACCTGGTGGTTGCAACAAACAGACACCATTGAAGGTAATCAGAAGTGAGGAACAGAATATGAAATAATTATTTTAATGTTTAGAGCAGCAGGAACTCCGAGAGGCTGCAGGCGCATCAGTGAGTTTGCGGCTGCTGCGCAGGGGGAGGGGGGAGAGGGCTGAAGCAGGGGGAGGGGGGAGAGGGCTGAAGCAGGGGGAGGGGGGAGAGGGCTGAAGCAGAAACTACCGTTGTTAAAAGAAATGTGTTTAACTTTGAAAATGTGGGCACAATTTTAATTGTCAAAAACTCCAGCGAACCATTAGTTCATTTTGCTCAAATAGAAATAGAGGCCTGCCTCTAATACTGGCCCTCCTTCCAATAAAGGCCTGGAGCTTGATGAGCTTGAGTCAAATACAGGCCCGGGCCTGTATTAGAGGATTTACTGTAATTAATTGCACAGCCACAATGTAGAAAACTCTGTGTTCACCCTAGACACTGCCCCCTACCGGTCATAGGGGATATGACGACACATGCTCTCTACTTGAGTCAACATGTAACAAAAAAATGAAACTGTGTTTAAAATATAGTTCATAATGTATTTCATGCCTAAAGATGAACAAACATCTTAGAGAACAACAAACTAACAATGAAATCCAGTGAATTTGTTTATTCTACATTTAAAGTTCTTGAAAAGATGAATCTTTTAGAGTTATCCATCAGGCTTGAGGAAGTCTGTTTTTAGATGGCATGAAGAAGTGGCAGACTTTAATAGCTTGATGAGAAAAATGAGCAACAAACAAACATGTATCAGAACAAGAGTTAAGTGTGTCCTGTAGGGCTCTCCCTGCAGTGTTGTAGCCACTGAGGACAGATAAAGGAAATGAAAGCACATGACAGTCCAGCCCAGCTGTTTGAAATGAAAGTTGATTGTTCCTATTGAACCAAACAGCTGAGCTTGAGAAGAAAAATCAAGCTGTCAGATGGTCAGACATCCTTTCATACCAGAACACAGCAACAGGAAGTATTTTTTAACCTTTTTTAAATTTAGAATTCAATTGAGCAAATTTGACAGTTTGTGTAAAGTACAACACAGCAGGCTCGAAAGAGATTCCTTCATCTGATTGTAAAAGTTAAAAGTCTACAACCAAGGTTCCATTCAATATCATCTTTACTTATACCCATTAGTTGTGTTGAAACACCTCTTCAGAGTTTCCTTAGGGCTGAGTCTGGACGCAGTCCAGGGAGGAGCCACAGCAGCCAATTAGATTTGAGACTCTGTGAGAGAAGAAGTAAAGCAGTCTAAGGTCGTTACGCGGCAGCAGACCTCACGGAAGCCCTGAGAGACTCCAGCATCATGAGCTCTGGCACCCCAGTGAAGACAGAAGAAGCTGCTCCTAATTCAGCAGCTGCAAAAGGAGGGTGGAAGGTGGGAGGTTTCTACCGGTTCTTCCAGTGTGTGTGTGTGTGTGTGTGTGTTACAGTGTCCTCTGAGTGATGCTCATATTGACAGAGAGGATGTGAGGAAGGTTTGGAAAGAGTGCCAAGAGGAAAGCTTCTGGTACAGGGGTAATCACATCAGTTTTGTACATTTCTGAATCGTCTTACCTTACTTTAGAATTTGTAAAAGTGTGTGTGTTTCATGTGTATTGCATCAGTCTTGTAGTAGGAGCAGCATGTTGTCACTCATCAGTCACTTCCTACACTCGTGTGTCAAAGTTAAAGTCCCATTAGTTGTCACACACACAGGTGTGTGTGCGAAATTTGTTCTCCGCATTTGACCCATCCCCTGGGGGAGCGGTGAGCTGCAGACACGGCCGCGCTCGGGAACCATTTGGTGGTTTAACCCCCCAATCCAACCCCTTAATGCTGAGTGTCAAGCAGGGAGGCATTGGGTCCCATTCTTTCAAAGTCTTTGGTATGACCCGACCAGGAATCGAACCCTGATCTCCCAGTCTCAGGGCGGACACTCTACCACTAGACCACTGAGAAAGGTGTGTTTACATTGGTCAGTGTGTGGAGCTCAGAGTGGGGCCCAACCAAACTTCCATGTGTGCATGTTGATTTAAAAAGTAGTGGATTTATGGAACATGAAGGCACATGATTCTGGACTGAACAGGCCTGATTTTAGGTGAAAGGTGGGCGTAGCTTGGCTGGGAGTGTCCCAAGTGTCCATGACGACGTAGACCAAGCTGATTCTTATAAAAATGAGACCTGATCCAACAAGAGGGACAAAACTAACAAGCGATTTATCTTTGAGCTTCAAAAAGCTGACAGATTTAGTTAAAACCTTTATCACGCTCGACTTTAGCACTGTTGCAAAATAAACAAAGCACAAAGGTGAAAGTCATGCATAAGCTGCTTGGAGACAAATGCTGTTGACTCTACATGGATGGCTGGCCAGCCACGATGAATACCAACAAAACTAGACCTGTCTGAAGCAACAACATGTTTTATTTATTTATTCTTATCTTTGATCGCTGTCCTGGTCCTTCCAGGACCTTCTTATTTGCAACAATCCTGGATTTGTCCTTTTGCTCTCTAATTAATCAAAGGTTATCTAAGCGATCAACGTTCAAATGGAACTGGAGGCGTGAAGTGGGTTCAAATCCAGACAGGACGGAAACGTCTTTGTAAAGGCAGTGGATCAAAACTAAAACCTTTTTAGTAGTTTCTTTGTTTTCTTTTTCCATTTTTACTGAGATGTAATTCCTAGAAGGGAAGAAATCCTTTCTTTTATTTCATTGGTGCCTCTATTTCGTAGCATAATCGTTGTTTCCTACATTGCTGCTCTTCCACTCTCCATCGGCAGCATGGCTGTTACTGGTGGTCTCATCTTCAATGGTAATGTCCTGATCTCTCCTTATTTCAATATAACAAATGAAGCAATAATTTCTGTCAATGTTCACTTAATTTAAGCTTACTTTGCATATTTTTCCCCTCATTTAGGAGTGTGGAAGAAATCAATAAGATTTGGCTACTTTCCTAAACTAGCAGGTTTGTGTTCCGCACTTTCTGGAATATTTTCAAGATTCAAGATCTTTTATTGTCATTGCACAGGTGTGCAAGGCAAAAATAGAAGTCATGCAAATGCACACACACACACACACACACACACACACACACACACACACACACACACACACACACACACACACACACACACACACACACACACACACACACACACACACCTTTTGCACACACAGCTAGTTTAAGGTGCAAATAAAATGTAAAGTATAAATGTAAACACGGTAATAAGACATGGCTAAACTATGAAGTGAAATAGAAAGTAAACATAGTATAAATGTAAACCGTCACATGTTGAGGTATCAGGTTAATATAAAGGTGCAGAGTAGACTAGTAATGCTTGGTTACAGTTTCCCTTAAATAGTTTTCTTTCTTCAGTTGCGGGACTCCTTGGGTTCGCAGTGGGAAAAGCTTCTTATTTTGGGACTTGCCGGAGCAAATTCCAGGAGCTTGGTATTAAAGACGGACCAGGATATGGACCCTGGTCAAGGACAGGCCACCATGGTCCAGGATGCAGGTGAAGGAAAAAACAAACTCAATCATTCTTTGTTAATCTACAAGTGAGAGTAAATATAATGATGCAGTCTCTTGTGGTGTCTATAAACTGTATTTTTTTTCTTTCAAATCCATGATGAAGCTCGTTTGGATGTCTCTGTGTGTCGTTTTGTTTCTTGGCAGATCCTGCGGTCATGTGTGTGAAGAATGTAAAAAGAAAGCTCCAGCTGCACCGGCAGAACAAACACAAAGCTAAAGGTAAGTGTATCTTATCTAATAAGATATACAAGCCTTTTCATAAATCTTTGCTAATGCTAACATCTTTACATAAAAGGTCAAAACTGCAAAGGATTAAAAGTGTGTGCGGTGCATGGCATGGATGCATTTTTATTTGTTGCCTTTAACTTTCAGCCTCATCTTAAACAAAGAAGGAACATCTATTGGTGTGGAATTTTCAGGTTTATATCCTCATAATAAATGCTATAAAAACATCAAAGTTGTTTTTGTTTTTCTTACACTTCCTCTACTGTCCACAAGAGGGAGCAGCTATCCCATTCTTAATGAATTTTGCTAAGTTTCTCATAAAGGGAGCTTTTATGTGAGACTTACAGACCCTAGCTCCTGACAGTTTGTAACAGCAAAATACTTATTTTCTGCACCATTATACTAACAAAATCTTTAAAAATCATGAGATTTTCTTTTGTACATTCAGTTTCTCATAGTTGGAGTACCCATGATGAAAACTGCAGACCTCTTCCACCTTTTTATGTGGAACAATTTGTACAGTCGGTGGCTGACAAGTACTTTTTGCTCCACTGTACCAAACAAATTATTATTTGTTTTAATCAAGAAGTGTGTGTGTGTGTGTGTGTGCGTGCGCGCTCAGACCTGCCGCAGCAAGAGCAGGTCCGAACAGGAGTCAGAGAAGATGTTTGTACTGAAAATCGTTAATTGTTTCCTAATGTAAGGTATTTTTCCTAAATCATTAAAAGTTGCTGCTGTTAAACCTCTTTCATCAGAAAAGTGAATTAGATCCCTTAACTACAGACCAATCTCTAATCACCCTTTCATTGGGGACAATTAATGAAAAAGCAGTTATGGTCCAGCTGAACAACTTTTTGGAGACAACCTGCTGGACAGTTTCCTTCCAGTCAGGCTTTAAACAACACCACAGCACTGAGACTGCACTGATTAAAGGTAATAATAAATAATTTTACTTGTAAGTGCCTTTCAAGACTCTCAAGGTTGCTGAACATAAAACACGAACATAAGTACCACAGTTTAAAAACAATGCAAACAAAGCAATTCACATGATCAACTGAGCAACACATAAAACGAATAGGAACGGTAAATGGCCTGTATTTGATATAGCGCCATCTAGAGTCCTGGAACCCCCCAAGGCGCTTTACAACACAACCAGTCGTTCACCCATTCACACACACATTCACACACTGGTGGTGATGAGCTACGATGTAGCCACAGCTGCCCTGGGGCGCACTGACAGAGGCGAGGCTGCCGAGCACTGGCGCCACCGGTCCCTCCGACCACCACCAGCAGGCAACGTGGGTTAAGGGTCTTGCCCAAGGACACAACGACAGCGACTGACTGAGCAGAGCTCGAATCTGCAACCTTCTGATTACGAGGCGAGCGCTTAACTCCTGTGCCACCGTCGCCCCTTTATAGGAGCAGGTTACAAAGTAAGGTCAGATATAACAACACATTAAAAGAAAAAAGACGAAGTAGAATATGCAACCCTGAATACATTAGTTTTAAGTAGCTCTTTGAAAGTTTGGGTAGATGAAGCTGTACGAATACCCAGAGGAATTTTGTTCTAAAGCCGCGGTGCAGCTGAACCAAACAACCTTTGTCCCATGGTGGACAGACGGGTACATGGAATGGTGAGGAGACAGTCTGAGGAAGAATGCAAGACGGTGTGTAAACATGGAGGAGGCTTTGAATGTTCACAAAAGGATTTTGAACTCTACGCAAGTGGACTGGAAGCCAGTGCAACAGCTTGAGAACAGGTGTGAAGACGATGTTCTTGAGATGATATGGGCTGCCGAGTTCTGAACCAGTTGTAATGTGTGGGGTAGTTTTGTGGCAAGACGGAGAGTAGTGTGTTACAGTAATCGAGCCTAGAAGTGACCAGGGCATTAACTAAAATTGCAGTGTCGTGGGGGTAAGGGAGTGATGGAGACAATTAATATTACATAGACAGAAGTAGGCGGAGCGGGTGATGTTTATATGAGCTGAGAAGGAGAGGTTGCTATCCAGAATGACACAAACTCTTGTCCTGTGATGAGGGGAGAACATCAACTGAAATAGAAAATTTGTGAATTTTACAGATTGTGGATTTTGAGCTGATGAGGAGGAATTCTGTTTTATTTCCATTAAGTTGGATGAGGTTGTGAGAGAACCATGTTTTGGTTTCATGGAGACAATTTAACAAAGAGGAAGAAGGAAAAGATGCAGTTGGTTTAGAGGAGAGATACAGTTGGGTGTCATCTGCATAACAGTGGAAATTGACATATTTTTCAAAGATATTTCCAGAGGGAGAGCATATAGATAATGAAAAGAAGGCACCCAGGACAGAGCCTTGTGGCACACCAGTTGAAACCGGGGAACGAAGGGATTGAAAAGACTCGAGTTGAACAGAATAAGAGCAATCAGAGAGATATGAAAAGAACCAAGAGAACATATATATATATAGATAATGAAAAGAAGGGCACACACACACACACACACACACACACACACACACACACACACACACACACACACACACACACACACACACACACACACACACACACACACATATATATGCCCTTTTCTGGACTGAGATGTCTGATGTTTTTCCTGGGATCTGCTTTAGCCTCTCCTCCAGTTTGGGGGTCACTGCCCGAGTGCCCTCATGACCACGGGCACCACCAATGTTTTCATTCCAGGTTTTCTCAAGTTCATCTTTGAGGTCCTGGTACTTCTCTAGTTTCTTGTGGTCCTTTTTCCTGATGTTGCCATCACTTGGTAATGCCACATCAACCACAACAGCTGTCCTCAGTTGTTTGTCCACCACCTCAATGTCCGATTGGTTCTCCATTACCATTTGTCAGTCTGGATCTAGAAGGAGCTTGGCTCTCATTCTCAACCACCTTAGGGGGTGTTACTCACTTTGACCTTGGGACTTCCAGTCCATACTCCAGTCTCTCTCTCTCTCTCTCTCTCTCTCTCTCTCTCTCTCTCTCTCTCTCTCTCTCTCTCTCTCTCTCTCTCTCTCTCTCTCTCTCTCTCTCTCTCTCTCTCTCTCTCTCTGTATATATATAATATATTTATGAAATATATAAGATATACCCTCAGGTTGTGTATGAACGTTTACTGACACAGTTTAAAATAACCTCCCTTTCCAATGGATAACATTTTGACTTGTTTTATGTTGTTATTTGATCAACTCGGGTATTACATTATTCCTTGGAGTACACTCGTAATTTTCTGTTTTCAACAGAAATACGGTGTACGCCGGTGAATATAAGAAGCACACCCTTGTCAACCCCCAAAAGACGTCATGCAATCAACAGGTTGTTTTCTCAAGACTGTCAAGAATATTGTCCAATCGCAAACATTGTTTGGTGTAGGCGCAAACCACTGTAGCCAATGAAAACAAAGGAGGCGGGACAAACAGGGTGCCGTCTGCTCTGACTGTGGACCTTTACCAGCGCTGACACAGACTGTGAAAAACAAATCACATCACAACGCAAATCCTTCCAATGGAGGAGGGCCAGAACGTACAAGCTTGTTCGGCAAATTAAAAGACTGCAAGCTAGCGACTAGGCTTAACTAAAGGGAGAAGAGGAAAAAGTTGTGAGTAACGTCAACATCACAATCCCTGTAGAAAAATGATGACAGGATTTTTGCTTGTTAACGTAGTTAGCGTCGGCTTAGTCGTTAACTTTGCTGTAGAGATTAACGTTAGCCTACCCAAAGGCAGCCGTAGCATGCTAAAGAAGGAGAAGGAGTTTGGCTGTTGTGCTAGGTAGAGTTAGTCGCTTTCCATCAACGTTTAATCTTAAGTACCGTTCTCCTACACGTCGTCACAAGTTTCAGCTTGTTGGCAGACTGAACGTTAACTTTAAAACTGGCTGGTCAGCTGAAGCAAGTTAGTGCTGCTAGTTAGCCTCTTGCTTAACATTAGCGGTTTCCTCAGTGCAGTATAACAACGCCTGGCTAGCTCTGCTAACTGAAACGCTACCCATTATATTGTGTTGTATGTCATTCAATTTTATTCTCTCAAGGTTTATCGCCTGCTGGTGAAACGGCGACAATCAGATTAACTTACTGTTTAGGATGCTTGGGCACAGCAGTCAAAACAACCACACACAAACACTGAGTAAAGTCCAGTTTATATTGACATTACAACGACATCAAATTTGAGCTTTTACTTTTTATTTTTTGTAAAAGAAAATGAAGTTATTTAGGGAAGAGCACTTTTTGAGCGTTAATAGTGGGTTTGAGGGGACTAACATGTCTGAGCATGGTGGCTCTTATGCAATGGCATAATTGCGCGAGCTTCAAGCTTTGCATCAAGCATCGATTGTACTGAAGTGTTTCCTGTTTGAAAAGCCATCAGATACGAATAATGTATTTATTTATTGAATCTTGGACACAAAAAGAGAGGAATCTGTGGTCAGTTCACTCTTGACTTGTTAGATGTGACAAGAAGGTACAGTGAAATGCGAGTTTGTGTTTACTTCCACTCTCATCTGTGTGTATGATGATTTACTTGTAAGTTGGATCACAACAGACACCAGTCTACTTATGATGCTCACATTAAGTGTTCATCAACATTTTAGGAAGGACTTTGCAGTTTGTACTAACCTTCAAGATCATTGACCTGCAGCTGGATGCTCTGCACAGTCCACGTGCAACAACAAATAAATAAATAAGACAAACCTTTGATGGCAGTGTAAATGTGTAGTTTATTTATTTTGTGCCCCAGCTAGAGGGAATCCCTTCTTGACAGAAGCAGCCATCCATCTGTGATTATCCAGGGCACAATCCCAGTGATGTTTGTCTTAATCTGGTAGACATTAATGGCACTGAAAAGCATGAGGATGGAAAAATCAAGCCCTGAAAAATGTCCCCACAGTGACCTCTGGCTGAGCTCCCCCCTACTAGGATTAACTGTTAATTCAGTGTTTCAGTGACAAAATTGATGCTCAACAAAAATCTCTATACCTCCTTTAACTTTTTCATGCAGCAATCCTATTGATGCAAATATTTGTTTAATGAGTTGCCCCTGCAGCAGCATTTCTGCAAAACCTCCATAACGTCCAATTTTAGAAGCTGTAACCTATTCTATCTTATCTCAATAGGATATTTTCTGCTTTAGTTTTCACACAATCCTCACATAACTTCTCCTCAACCTCTCAAAAAGTACTTATTGTCCAGATGGCAGCAGATGACCTCTTATCTGGACATAGACGGATCAGTTGAAGCCAGTTTCATTTGTGTGTTTGCATTTGCACATGCAGAGATGACCAGACAGCTGAACAAATGGAATTTAGTAGAATTGTACACAGAAGGGGTGTTAGACCTTGCTATTTGCTTAAGCACTGTATGCCAGCACCAGTAT